GTTTTACACACGAGACGAAGCCTATATGCTCCCTCTCTCACAACACACAGGCGCGCGCGTTGAATGCAGGGATGCTGAGCCGGGGGCTGACGAGCAAACAAGACCGTCACAATAATCTTGTGCTGCAGTGATAATTACTCACAGACCACAACAGCAGCAGCCGGCGCACTCCAGCAGAGTGCAGCGTTTCGATGGAAATGCCTGACCGGCCTCATACCTCATGCCATACCTTGCAACTGCCTTGCTGCAGCCCGCTGCGTCCCGCTCGCGAGGAATCTGTATGCCGTGATGCGATTAGCCGCAAGAGTCACGCCACGCCACGCCCTGCGCGCCAGGAGGAGATCGAGACACGACCGTGGGCTCCGAAATGCGGACGGAAAAAGCACTCAATTACGCCCGTCTTGTTCCTCGCGAACCTATGGAACCTATGGACGGAACCTATGGAACCTATGGAACCTATGGAATGGAATCTGCGGAGCTGATAAACCCCTCGGGTTTCTCGGCCCACCGCCCACCAGATGGGCCGGTCCAGCCCCTTGGTAACTGCACCGCAGCCGAATAAACCCACAGCAGTCGGTTGGGTTGCCTATCGGCCTCCCTGCAGGCGCCTTAGGAAGGACGGTCGCCGGCGCGGAGAGCGGGGCACCGCGGGCATACTCGGATGAGGGAAAGCCCCCCCCCCTCCCCTCTCGCCAAGGGTTCAGTTCTAGAATGAATTAACTCTGCCCGCTGACGGGGAAGACCTGTCGTCTCTCTGGACCACCAGGGCCGCCAGCTCCGCCAGCGGGCGGATGAGGTGCAGCAGCAGCAGCAGCAGCAGGGGTGCGGTTGCGACCTGAACGAGGGGAGTTAGGAGGAGGGAGGAGGAGGTTTCACGGAAACAGAGGCATACCGCGCGGATGGGCCGCGAGCAGCTAATGCCTGTCCCGAGGGAAGTCCCCGGCCCGCGAACCCCGCACCGCCGCACGCATTCCGCGACCGTGGCTTGCTTGGTCTGCCTCGGGTTGAGCTGTATCCACGTGCACAACCGCGAAAGCCCCGCGACGCCTATCTGGGAGCTGTGCCCCGTCCCAGCAAACGCGTGTACTAGCCCGCATGCACGGGTGCGGGCGGGTTGCCTATTCGCATGGGGCCACATGGTGCCATGGCTACAGACGATAGACAAGTACCCAAATACGCCTGCACCCGTGCAAGTATTTTACGGGCTTGCTGGGACGCGGAACGGCGACTACACACACACACCAATACAGAGATCGGATCTGTTTTCTTACTTTCTTAAGACCTTATTATTAAACTTTAGTTGCATTTACCCGCCAAACGCCTATAGCCTCGCTGCGCAATCTCTTCGAGTCTATCCCCCTCCCCCACCCCTTCTCTCTATCCTCCCCTTCCTCAGTTTGACTTCCCACGTCGAAAATAAGTTACATTTGTGAACATGTTGTTCACGACGTCAGAAAATATTTAGACTGCCGCTATGAACCCAAGTAAAATATTACCAATCATTAATTTGCTGTTTCCATCAGTAGCACTCCTCATGAACGAAAGTATACCATTATGTTAGAGGTGTGCGTCGTAAATGCACTATACTCGACTAGCCTCTCGTCTGCGTCAGTATTAACAACAAGCAAGCAGCCGCTGTTATTTTCTTTGAAATTTAGTAGTGAATTATGCTGCAATTTGCTTTTCTATCTTTGACTGGTGATTTAAATACTTCCTTCGTAAGGAATTCTTCACCCTAAATAAATTTCAGGACTGTCTTGTTGCCAATGTAAGTAAATTTACCTACCTTTTGGAGGTTATGTTAGCTGTGTAGTAATAATGTCCAATGTAAATTTTTAAAATACTTCTGACATTTGCCTCTTTTACTGGTTATAATTTTTTTTACTTATTCTCTTTCTATCTCTTTTTTAAATCCAGAAGGACACAGAAGCAATGTTCCCTGCTAATCACAAAACAGTTTTTGTGTTGGATCACACTCCACAATTCGGTTCATCATATGATTCTGTTGTTGAACTGGATGTGGGAAATAAACCAAGAGGCGTCAGTATGATCCCCTTGTCACCCATTTACAAAAGCCTATGGACAGCCAGTGTTGAATCTGCTCTGGAATATTGTCGTGTCGTGTGGGACCTATTTCCCGAAAGAAAATATGTAAGATTACTGACTTCCCGTCTTGTAGTAACTGCTCTGGAAATATTGTGACATATCAGAAAATTTACTTTGTTGTTTCATTCAGATAATTGTCAATCTTGCTGTTTTAGTAAAAGATTCAACTCTCTTTCAGATACGTTTCGTTGTTAGTGACATTCAAGGACATGTACTAAATTCTTGGAGTCCTTCGCAACAAAATCTGGCATATGTATGAAAATAGGTTAAAGTATTATTGCAGTACCCAAAACTGTTTTGCAATCAAAATATAAGGTTTTGTTTTGTTTTGCACTCAACAGATTCAAAATCAACTTGGCATGATTGGGGTCCCAAACATTGCCACAAGACCTGTGCATGCAGAAAACTCGGTAGTTCCAGGCCTACAGGCTGCAGTTGACTCAATTTGCCAATGTACTGACATACAGCATGAGAGACGAACCTCCCTTAGTGAAAATGCTTCTAAGGTACAAGCATGATTTATATAAAATTGAATAGTTATGTAGATCTTCCCATATTTCAAATATATATTGTATCTATTTTATGTTTTAAATTATTGCTCTTTTTAGATTTTAAACAGATCCAGAGTTATATGTATTACCTCACAAAGAGATAATCAGTCAATCAAACACCTGCAAGATTCTTTTGCTAAATTTGTTAGCCAAGCCAACAAAAAAGCTGCAAACTCTGATACGTGAGCTAATCTTTTTTCTTGATTTGTCATTCACATTTTGTTTTCCTGAGATGTTCTTATTTCATATAAAAATATTAATTTCTGTTTGCCAGGTTGATACCTATTAATCATTGCCACCTTGTGATTTTAAATGTCACTTCAAGAAATAATGAGCCATGCCTTGTCAATCCAGTGCCTCCCACAGATGTGAGTACGGTAACTAGTAATCATCAAATCCAAATTGATAATTCCACTATGAGATTTCAAAAACATTTACTTATTTAATTGTTTTACTTGTGCTCTTCAGATCTCATCAACAGTAACGTCTGAGGTTCATGCTGTTCTGCCTAACGGCAACATTGCAGTGAAGCTTTCACACCTTATCCTGCAACATTATGATTTAGCATCAACCACCGTAACAAATATTCCAATGAAGGAGGAACAAAACGCCAGCTCTTCAGCCAATTATGACGTAGAAATCTTTCACCTGTCAGAAGCACATGCATCTATACTCAAAGGTTTTTGTTGTTATATTGTTTCTTTCTATTAGCTGTATAGTAGTTTTTATTTCAAAATAAGATTTCCCAAAGTACCCCATTTTATTACCCTTTAGTTTGTTGTGTATACACATTTACTTACTATTCTATCTATTTGTTCCATGCAAAGAGGAAGGATATCTAAGAGGTACAGTGTTAGACATATTATGTGGCAGAAAATTCTCAAAGTTGTTTTTACATTGTTGTTCAGTTGCTCTTTCCCATTTTCCTATTAATTTTTCTTTCCATCAGTCATTGTAGTTTTAGAACAAATATTATATGATGTGCATGTATTGTAACTGAAAGTTGTGAAATTCGTTTACATGGAGTTAAATACTTTTTTGTGTTTTTAATCAGTTTTGGTAATTTTTTAGGTAGTGCCCAAGACACTGCATTAGTCAAAACTCTCCGTGAGGGACGTGAATATGATACGGTGACCCTGAAATGGTGTACTCCCAAAGCAAGTGCAGCAGAAATGCATCACTGTACTGCAATGCATAGAATAACACCTGTTGATGTCAACAGGTGAGTTAGTTCAATTCCTGGTGGGTGTTTGCTGCCCACTTACAAGTATGTTGTAAGTTTTGAGATCGTAATTATTTTTTCTTTCAGTCGACCATCATCCTGTTTAATCAACTTTCTTCTTAATGGAAGATCAGTAATGCTTGAAATGCCCCGTAAAAATGGTGGTAAAGTTTCATCTCATATGTTGGCTGCTCATGGTGGAGAAATATTTGTACATACTCTTGGAACATCTAGAAGTGTGCTGGAAGATCCACCCTCTATCAGTGAAGGGCCAGGAGGAAGAGTAACAGACTATCGAATCACAGTAAGAATAATATGTTAAAATTGGATTACTAGAGCAATTGAATGAGTGATATACCTCAATTTATTTCAATTTGCTTTGAATTTTAGGACTTTGGACAGTTAATGAAAAAGAATAAGCTTTTACCCTTGAAAAGGAAAAGGAATGATGATTCCTTGTCCAAAGATGATGTATCTAATCTGGACCGAATGAGACAACGTTTAGAACGATTTACCAAACATTGGCCAATAACCATCTCTTCAACAAGTGTTTTTAATTTGAGACCTGTGAGCAAAATTCAGTGAATTATTAAACGGAGATCTTCTCTTTCCTACTATATGTAACTATCTAAAAATTTATTTTGGAATCTATTTTATTTTACAGGATTTGGATCCTCTACTAAATGCAATAGTCAAGGAGACAATAAGTGAGGAAGAAGTTGTTCAATGTAAGCAAGTAATTCTTAACTTGGTAGCACAAGAATCAAGAAATGAGCCATTGCAGCCTTCTCAAAGTGGTCAGCGAACTAAAGGACCCAAGAGGTAAATGAAACAAAATTTACAGGAATTATTAACTAAAAATAAGACACCTACCAGTTTTATTAATTTTGGAAGACTTTTATCTATCTTCTCAGGGATGAGCAGTATAGACAAATGTTTGCAGAGCTGGAAACACTCATACGATCACACTGTCGCACAGACCAACATACTGCTGTTCTCAATTGTCTCCTAGATTGTAGAAATCGGTCAGATGATGACCCGAAGGTTAAATTAGAAAGAAAAGATGACAAAGTCGAACTAGACCAGGCACTGAGGGAGTTAGACCAGTAAGTAAATCTTTGTTAAAAGCATATGTATTTGGTGTTGTGCTATAAGATTATTACTAATATTTTGTTTTGTGATTACTAGGATGGCTGCATCTCCAAGTGCAAGTGTGAATGGACAGAGAGTCAGTGTTATTAGAGCTACAACAGACTCCCCTATGTCTCCTCCTCCAATGTCAGGAACATCTCTTCCACTTTCAAGTATTAGAGGTCAAGCTAGGACAAACACCCACAGCATATATTCTTCTGGTCATCGAACTGTGTTGGACTTTCTTATTAGTTCTGACTCAAAGGCAAATAGGTATGAAAAATTCAATAAAGCAACGATGAACAATTGTGCTATAAAATCAACATAAATGTTTTTCTGTTTTACTTCCAGACCTGAGTTTCATGGACTGTTAAATTCTGATGTAGGTCCTAATGGGAATAAAGTTGCAAAGCTTTATGCCCATTTAAACTCACAAGATGGAGGTAGAGGTGATAACTCAATGAATGAGGGGGAATGATTTCCAAGTTCCAATTGTGTCTGTGATCTCAATGAATGAATGAATGAATGAATCTAATGAATTTAATTATTGAATGATAATTGCTTTTCTGCACTTTACCTGAACCTGTCATTAATATTGAAGACTGTTTTAAATGAAATTTTTGCAGTTTATCTTATGTGTATTCGGTATGTACTGAACTGTACTACCCAGCTTCCACATTAAATTAAAATTGATATTTTTTTTCAAAGACTTTGTTGTTTAGGTTCTTCTTCTTTGAAACCCTTTTTTCCTTTTTAAAAAAACAGAAAGCTTACATTTTGAGAGTGAGCGTTTCAAGTTGAGACATTTTTCATTCAGGAAGAACACATACAATTATGTTGTGTTAAGCAAAGTACACATAATACTACGTTTGTACACTCATTTTATTGTGTGTTTTTTTTTTACTCGTTCTTTACCACCACCTGCACCTACTCAGTGGTAGAAGAACGAGTATTGATCTCAGTGCGATGTCACGCGTAACGCTATTCATGCTCGGAGTACAGAATATGTACACTTATGATACTTGTACCATTCGAAACTGGGAATGTTGTAGGCGTGACCAACAATGGACCTTTTTTCAAGTTTGACACTACTTTTTTGAGAACTCTTAACAAAATTCGCTGGTTTTCGTTCTAAGTCGATAGACCCGTGCCGCACAACGAATCTTCATCTTGGAACACGAAGCGCATACAGACATGACAATACTACCATTCGAAACTTCGTTTGCTAGTATTACTGGAAGCAATGAAGATTGTTTTGGTCTAATAGCAAAATTTTGAGAACTCTTAACAGATTTCACAAGTTTTCAGTCTAAGTCCCGTCTGCCGATGTTGCTTCTGCTATTGTGCCGCCAACTGTAGATTCATATTCATTTTGGTTTTCACGGAACGCGCATCTTTTTGAAAGCGCCGACTTTTGCAACAATGCTCTTGTCTTGTGACCTGAAGGGAATGCCGAGAATAGCGCCCGTTTTAGCCTTCTTTTTAATTTCGTCATCATCCAGTTTCATATGGTACATGTTTAATAATAATATATATTCTCAGAGAAACGTGACACATGTTGACAGAACAACACTCGTTGATTCTACAACCATATAGATGTAAAGCAACTTAGCACTGAAAGGGTCTCTGTAAAGAACGAGTACCAGTATTCACACAAAATTAATTTTGTGTTTTCTTTCCTCCTTGTTTAAATAAATATGAATCCAATACATGGTTACTTAAAACCCATCATTGCCCTTCCACAACGACGATTCCGGTTAGATTTTCTCGTCCCTATTTTTTTCCTCACATATATATGAGGTGCAGGCGGGTGGGGGTGTGGGGTGTGGAGTGGATGGAGGCTGCTAGCCCGAATTTGATTTTGGATTTACAGCTGCCTCGAAGAAATAATAAAAGTACCGAGATAGATAGCTGAAAACCTTCGCTTTCTTTTAGTCCAAAAATGACTTAAACTACTTTTGACGCAAACGCGAATTTTGCAAAAGCCGGTTGCCGGCTCAGGCGCTCAGAGCTCTCCGCCGTGCCTCCTCCTTCCCACCCCTCTGACTTGCCCCTCTTTTCCTGTCCATCCCCTCCAAGGTCCGTCGTATCCCCACCAAAACAGCTCATGTCGTCACTTCCACCACTAACTCAAGTTATTAATTCAATTCGCCATCCCACCGGGGAGAGCAAATGCGTCGTCTTAAAGAGAAAAATCAGGTGCGCGATGACCGCGCATGATTCGAATTTTCAGGCTTTGGAACCGTACAGCCTTTTCAATACCCTGGTATTTCTACCCCTTGCCCCGCAGCGCTTGTAACTGTTCCCAACCTTGCCGCAACACAGCGCGGGAGGGGTTCGCAGAGCTCCGCTGTCTTCAAGTATTCCCAAAGACACATTAAATATTCACCCAAACTTTGAAAATCGGACCATGATTTGTAATCCTGAAATAGTATTCAAATTCCCATGGTTAACTTAAAATACTAAAAATATTTCCGGTGCAACTTTGGTGGGGAGACAGCGAACCGTAGTGCTCTCTCGCGTCCGTTTGGCAAACTGCTCTGGCAGTCCACAGTTATCACAATGGCTTCCGTAAGAGACACAGCAACTTTCTTCACTGAGGGTTCTTCAAACCAATTTGATCATGTTTTGAGTTTATATCCCGAAGCACTCAGACTCAAAGCTGAAACGAAGGCTAAGAAACCAGAAGAACTCATAAAATTGGACAATTGGTGAGTATTTCGTGCTCTGAAAGCTCTCGAAAATTCCGTGTATGATGTCATTGAACCTTGCTTTGTATTTGAATGCTGATTTGAGCGTTTTAAACGTCATTTTCATGCTGAATTCACATTCTGTCGGGTTCAATCAATTCCGGTGTTCATGTACTTAGTTAAGGAATGAATAGAAAAGCTCTTGGCTGCAGGACAGTGGCTTTTCTTGAGACTTGCGTCGAGGCTTGTAGGTCGAACTGGTGGTAGCGTCATGTCGGGCCGCTGACGTTTGCCTTGAGTGGATTACTTAGTTCTACATATCTTAGAAACACACTCTGTCGGTTCCAGTTATGTTTCTCTCTCCCTACCTCGTACCGCTTACAGTTTGTAATTTTATTTGTCAAACATACTGGCCACCAACCGATGGGGTTATCTTTGTGTGCGGTCTCATCGGAGTTCTGTTCCACTTCCAAACAATCTCAAAATCCAACATGGAGACTCGAACAAAGAGTTGTTATCGCGGCTTTCCAAATCGCGGCTCCACATTTTCCCTCATTCATACTTATTTTTGCATGGATTTCGATGTGCTTTTGTGTCTATACCTAGCTCCCATAATTTCTTGCACGGGAAATGTGTACCAAGCGCGTCCGGCCGTCAAGGATGGATGCCAGGAGCAAAGCTCAGGGCACCGCGGAGGTTAGACGCGTAGACGCGCTCTGTGAAATCACACAGATATTCCTTTCACATCGTTTGAAATGTGTCCCCTTAGTTTGAGTTCTACACCTACAACATTTTTCTGTGTTAAGTATGGTCTTGATATCATTTTTATTGGCGAAATGTCATTAGCAACCTCTCATGTGTAAACATTGGACTCAGTTCAGTCACAATCTTGTTTAATGAATGACTCTAGATATTTGAATAATACATTTTATGCCTGCATCTAAATTGCTCTTTTCTATCAATAATACATCTTGTTTACAAGTTAGTGGTACCTTATTCAAATTAATGCCCTTTTTGTTTAGTCTTCCCCTGCATAATCAAACCCCCTAAATTAATCAATTAATTTCATTGTACATCACAAATCAGCTTGTTCATGTTTTTGTTTTTTTTTATATATTGTCATCAGGTACCAGAATGAACTACCAAAGAGAATAAAAAGCCGAGGAAAGGATGCTCACTTGAACCATGAAGAATTAGTACAAACAATGAAATGGAAACAAACTGTAAGTTTTGTCAAATTGTAGACTCAAATATTTTTTCTTATTCATATTCTCTTAATTTGAAGTGTGTGTGGCTATGCGAGAAATTTACTGGTTGACACTAGCCCACACAGATTTTAAATGACCTTAAATTATTGTTTTAAATATTTAACTTTTCTAAATGTTTTCTTATGTCATACTGTTATGATGTGTGTGGCACAGTATGCAAGGGGCACACTTTCATTCTTATTGACACTTCAATTTCCTTGTTTGTCAGACAGAATGTGAGTTGTAACTGTTCTCTAATTTTGTTTCCAGCGAGGAAAATTCTATCCTCAATTATCCTATTTGGTGAAAGTGAACACGCCTCGAGCAGTAATGCTGGAAACAAAGAAGGCTTTCCGCAAGCTGCCTAATTTGGAACAGGCAATCACTGCGCTGAGCAACCTCAAAGGCGTTGGGACAACTATGGCATCTGGTAATTAAGCAATGTGTAGTAGCATTCCGAAACTGTTTTTCATTTTTCTTATCCTATTTGTTCTTATTTTATATCCCATCAGTTGCTGTTCATAATAATTTTGGCCCAATTTTAACTAGTTTAACATTTATTTTATATTTTTAGCTCTATTGGCTGCAGCTGCGCCAGACAAGGCTCCATTCATGGCTGATGAATGTCTTATGGCTATACCCGAAATAGAGGGCATTGATTATACTACAAAGGAGTACCTCAATTTTGTTCAACATATTCAGCAAACTGTTGAAAGGCTGAATTCAGAAGGTATTGTTTCTTGGTATCTACAGAGATTTATATCATCTTGATTTTGTACTCTTCCATTATCAAAGTTTGACTCTTGTAGGATCCCCTTCTACATTATGGAATCCCCACAATGTTGAACTTGCCTTGTGGACGCATTATGTGGCATCAGAGCTGAAACCAGAAATGCTAGACTCTATCCCATCAGCTGTCAAAAATGGAAAAGTCGCACATCAGAATGGTGATGTTGAATCTCCTGCTACGAAGACACCAGTAAGTGAATTGGTCTTTCGATAATTAACTCTTTTAATTTTGGCTGTCGGTGAAGTATTACCTACTATAATTTTATTTTATCCTTGTCACAGGTGATAGATCCCAGCTCAGAAGACAGCAATCTGGATCCTGCTAATAATGGCAAGTCAGGATCCGCCTCAGTGACAGCCTCTGACACTAATGTGGATGAGAACTCAACCACTTCATTTACCGAAGATTCAATGGACAAACCTCTGACACCTGCATCTTCAGGACCTGTTGCTGTAGAACCAGAATCAGCATCAAATGGTGCTGGTGGGGAGGAAACTAATGACTCCATTGCTACCTCAGATTCTGCTACAAATGATTCAACTGTTTTAGAAACTCCAATTGCAGCTCTCAGTCAAGGGTCAGCGACTGAGGAGGAAGAGTCAAGGAGCAGTGTGATTGAAACAACGGAAGAAAGCACTGTTGAAACCGAGAAGAGAAAGTCAGATGATAGTGAGGTACCTGTGGCCAAGAAGTTGAAAACAGATCAGGATGAGGAAGTGCAACCACAAACCAATGCAGAAGTGGTGGAAGAAGCGAAGTGACATAGTCTCATGACTTGTCACATTAAACTATGTAGGAACAACTTGAATTTATTTTATTCGTTTTTCTTTAGTGAGGAAGACCAAGAAACGGGACTTGAATATTATAAAATTAACACCATTTGGAGTTTTCCCCTTTTAAATAAAAATGTGTAGGAAAAGTTATTGAAGAACAGCGTTCCTTTCTGAGTAAGCAAGCTGCATGGATGTGTGAATCTCTCTTGATGCGTAATCTTAAAATGGTAGTGCTTTCTGGACAGTCTCCTCTTAAAGAAAATCATGTTTGTATGAAGTGACGGCTCGTTGTGAGAATTAATTATATCTACGTATTAAAACAGTGATAATTTAAGTGAACGGTCTGCACATGCTCGGCTTACATCTCATCAACTCTGAAGGCTGAATACTGGCGTCATATTTTTGTATAAGGCCAGAAATTGATTGTGGCAATGTCAAGGATGAAAGTAAGCAATGGCCTGGAAAGGAGTTTTTTCTTCTTCTTTTTTTTTCCCTTTTTAAAAAAAATTTGTTTATGACCAATACGGTTGTGTATTAGAACAAACTATTCAATATTCCAACTTGAGGTCACTTGTTGAAAAACATAGTTGGAATACTTACATAGAAAGGTGCTTTTCTTTTCACTGATGTTTTTAATTGGAGCAGGGCTTTTTGAATTGTGAAGTATAATTTTCTCTTATGAATCATTTTAAGGGGTATTCAACCAAGTTGACTGAATTTCATGTGACATTGTTTAAGTGGCAATATTTCTGTTTGTTTGGCTGATGTTTGATGTGATACCTTCATGATAAGCTATTCTATCTTACATGACATATACCTAGCATGAATCAGATTTGAAGGCAGGAGTTTTATGGTCAGTCGAATACTGCTGACTTCCCCAATTTTTTTGCACCCAGTTGCAAATATTTTCTATTAGCATTTCCATGTTCACTCAGATATTCAATAGGTCCATGTTCACTTTTTTTTTTCTGTGTTCAGGCTTTTAATTTAATTAGGTTTATGAACTGGGGTCACTTTTCTAAACCCACATATTTTCCACTTCTTTTTTTGTAAGTCTTATGTTTACAGCTGTCATTTCTTTTATGTCTAAAGAAAAATAGTTGTTTTCTTATAACAGCAGTATTTTATGAATTTCTTTAAGATTTGAATGACCATGTTGCCTCTGGATGTTATATTTCCTTTGTTTTACTGAAATACGAAGCAAGATTGAAGTGCTGGTTCACTTTATGTATTTGCTAGTGATAATGGCGCATGGTCACCACTACTTTTTATTTTGTCTTTTTGGTAACTAGCAAGATTTTTTGAGCATTCACTAGTTTTTTACAAGATTTGTCATCAACATGTAAAGTAATGATTTTTTCTTAATTGGTTTCTGGACCTCTCATCTATAGAGATGTATGCTCAGACCGTTCATTAATGCCTTGATTTGGGCTTCATCAGTTATGAAATTCCCTCTGCTATATCTATGTCAACATTGTTGAATGCTTATTTATTTTTAATGTGTGATTGTAGTGGTTTTGAAAGTCCTGCTTGTCCCCATCTCTAATTGATTGAACATTCCATTTGCGTGTGGGTTGGCATGAATCATATGATTTGTTTACGCAGAAAGATTTTGTTTTGCTATCTACCTGCACTAGCATCTGGATTGCTGTTCCATCACTCTAAGAGTGCATTGAACTGGTCATTGGCTGTCCTTACCTCTCCCAAGCTGACTTGAGAATCATTTGTGTATTTATTTTCTAGTTAGTAGATATGTCAATACGTAGTTTCTCCTTTTGTTTTCTCAAGATCAAGGGTTGGGGAGTCAAGAAGCCTTTGAAAGCTTCCATGCTTAGTATGAAATTTGCATGTTTATTATTATATTTTTGACGGTGGTTCAGTGATGCACTGCCTACGTTAAGTGTTTTCTGCAAATTTATCCGGGAAAGTTAGCAGTGTTCAGGGTTGTTCCTCCCATTTGGGATCAGTCATGTTCTAAACAGTGTTACAATTTTCCTTTTTTCCTTTAATACTATTATACCTCATACATTGTCAAATGAATAGTACCAAATTGTATTCTTTATACTTCAGCTACATTGTGTTGACTAAAAGGTCACATTGTGCCTTCTGCTCTCAGTGGGATGTATAAATAAACCATTATGTAAACATGTGACTTATTTCAGTTGTAAGCATTTTCATTGTTATTTGGTGTGCATTTTCGTAACTCATGAGGTATACATTGTGTGTTGAAAATACATGATTTTAAAATGAAATCTTGCCAGTCTGTTTTTTTTTTCTTTCTTAAAATTGAGTTTAGTTTTGCGTCATCGGACGCAGACAATGATAGCACTATTTGCCCTGCAATATGGCACTCGTATGTCTTTGCACCCCATCCCCCGTCAGGGATAAGGGCCGTTACGCCCTTTGGGGCCAAAGTTCTGGTGCATTTGCAACATCACGAGGCCTTTCTTCCCTAGGAACTGCTATTCTCTCAAAGAAACATAACTGAGTACTTCAACTTAATTTAGTATTCTAGTTTTTAATATTTATATACGGGATTTATTTTCTCTCATGTAGTGGGTGTAGACTTATTACCAGTAAATGTGTTGATCTGTTCACATGTTTGCCAAGTACAATGATCCACACAAAATACTGTCTCATCCTCCACAGTCCTTTGCACATTAGTACAGCACCTAGTGTTGAAAGCAGGATTTTAATTCAGATTTTTCTGACTTTCTGAACGTGGTTTTATGAGAAAGATGACAAATGTGTGGATATTGTATAAGAATGTATACCAAATCAATTTTTGTATTGGCTCATAAGAAGTGATACTCTTTACTAAATACAAACAATTGTGTGTTATTGTTTGAATGTATGTGACTGAAAGCAACACGACTCTGCCATTTTCTCTTCGAGATGAGGGTGATTTTCTTGTTTTAGCACACTGTACCATGAAACTTTTCCAAAGGTGGGCAGCTTAAGATGTTTTTCAAGAACACCGCATGTAGGCTTAGCTGCACATTAACTTTCATTGCTTTGTACAAGATCGATAAGTATAGACCTAATAATGTTTTTTTTACCTCTTCTTATTTCCCATAGGGTCTAACAGTAGCTGAGCCATGAATCCTATGTGCAGAAATTAATGTGGTACATGAGTGATAAAGAAATTCAAACTCTCAGTTACTTTGTTGTGATTACTAATGTGCTCCTGGAAGTATTTTTGCCTGAGATCTTATGCATAAAGTGAATATGGTACAGAGTTCAACCACCTTTGTACTCTACTATTTTTTAATATTTTATGACACTTGTAGAAATGCCTTTGAACAAGAAGGGTGAAACATCAAAGATTGTTTAATAAAGAATGCTACATGTAATTTTCTTTATATTTAGTGCTTTTAATTCCTTGTCCATTCAAGAAACAACAAAACACAGAATAAACAAACTACTGTAATAACAATAATTCATGTTTTTTTGGTATATCCATTGTTATTGGACAATGTAATAACTTTTCACCCCAAACAAGTAAATATTAAAAGAAATGTTTGGCAGATACTTTTAATTGCTAATACAGGGGAGAACTACATCACATACACGAATGAAGCTAATAGAATCAGGGCTAACAATAGCAAATAAAATAGGAACTGAGTCATTTAATGCTTCACTCAAAGCTCTTAATGCCTGAGGTGAGGGAATAGAATCTGTATACCTGCAAGGATTTAGTAATTAATTTTGGGTGTCAAATTGGAAAAAACTTAAGTGAATGTTTTCAATAATACTCACCCCACTATACAAAGGTGAAAATCTGGAGAAGGCGGACTTCCCTTCCTGAATGGCGTGTTTGGAGAAAACATGTCGAACTTAGGATGTGGAATATCTTCATGCAGATTTGAAACTAAAGTTCTGGTATCCGCCTCCCTTATTACTTGTAAAGTTTTAAATACTGAAGCTGAAACAATTTAAGAGATAATAAAACTACACCATTTTGGGGGGGAAAATATTATTTGGACAAAAACTTACCAAAACTTGTGCAGTTCTCTGGAGAGAGTAGAGGCTTTGTGCCTGAAGGGGAACTACAACTCTCATCTGTATTTTCACTTTCTTCTTGTGATCTTGAATCAGCATCTTCATGTAAATTTTCAATTTTATTATCCTCTTCGCTAGAATTTGATTCAGACTTAATGCTCGAACTTTGGTTGCCAGAGCACTCATCAGAATTTAAACTACTGACTTCTTGCTTTTCTTCAAGAACTCTGTGCATATGAGTATACTTTTTAGGTGGGCTAAAGTATCTGCTCTGCATTGAGCTCTTTGGCTTCTTTCCTTTTCCCTTATTTTTGATCTTGGCCCAAGGTCGAATCTCACTCAATTCTTCATGTGCTTCGTAAGTACAGCCAGGGATATCACTTCTGTCATCAGACTCATTCTGAGGTAGTGCATGAAATGGTACAATCTCATTATCTTTTGAAAGGTCATTTGGATTGGACACAGATGTTTCTTTACTTTTAAATTGACCAAAGTTACGTTGCTGATGACTGAAGTTTGAGCCCCTACGTTGGTATGGATACCTTGGAGAAAAATGTCTATGGTAATTTGGTCTTGACATGAACCTGCTATTTCCTCTAGCTCCTCTAAAAGGACGTGGAGTAAAGTGTGGTTTGTGGGTCCAGTAACCTCTTCCTCTTCCTCTTGGAGAGTTGATCCAGTTACTTCTATGTGGTGGTTGCACATTAAAATGAGATTCTCGATTCCATGTTGAACGCTGTGGGAACCAAGAATTATTTGGCATCCAAGCCTGATTTTGTTGATAAATATTTGGGGAAAGTCCAAGCATGGGTAGAATAAGCTGAGCAATAGCCTGAACTGTTGCAATGTCATAGACAGGTGCTGGGGGTTGCCAAAAAGATTGCAGGGAAGATGGCTGTGAATCAAAATCAACAGATAGTGGCATATCTTGAGATGAATGAGAGTTTGATGAATGTCTTTCTTTGTTTTCACTCTGAAGTCCTCTGCGAGAAATTATGTATTGACTATGTTGAGGTTGAACGTTTTCTGGAAGTAGGTCAGATCTAGGTGGTACAATAGATATTTCTGAGAGATTATACATATCTGGTATCATTTCAAGAATCTTTTTGCGTTCTTCCTGCCATGTGATATTTTTGCTTTCTTCTACAATGACTGAATTGTCACTTTCAGAGCTTGTACTGTCATTGTCACTGCTATCAGAACTTGATGAATCCAAAACATCAATGACATCGATAACTTCAATGCCATCATTGTCATAATCCTCTACCACATACCCTTTAACAGAATCCTCAGATGATTCATCTGAGAGATTAACAAACTCCACTAACTTTTTCTCTGGAACAACATCAATGATTTCCACTTCTGAATCTGTATTATCTGATACTCTAGATCTCTTGACACGATCACATAGACTGTTTGCTCCATTTGGAGAAATAGGATGTTTCTTATCTTGCGATTCCTGAACCCTTTTTTCATAGTCCTCACTAACAGATGAATGATTCTCTGATAAATTATTCACATTGTAAATACAATTTTGGTGCCCTGTTAAAGAGTCATCATTCTCCACCATCTTGGTTCTTTTAGCAGGAAGTTCCTCACTGAGATCTCTTGCTCCAGCAAGACGCTTTTTATCTTGGAAGCTTTCAACATTTTTTTCACTATTATCAATGGACGTCTGGTCGAGTGAGTAATCATAACTGAGAATGTCAGTTTGATTTTCCATTTGAGATGTGGGTGTTTCCTCATCATTTATACATTTTGTAGTAGCTGAACTGTACTCAGAAGAGTTCTTCAAGCTTTCTTCAGGGTTTCCATTCAGAGAAGAATTATGGGCATAGTTTTCTTTACGAAAATGGTCATTCTGTTCTGCACAGATTTCTTCACCTTCTTTAGCAATATCCTCATCATAAATTTCAGCACTGGAACATTTCTTCGCCTCATCTACATTCCCGCTACTTGTCATATGAGATAAAATAGTACAAGCAGCACTTGATGCAACTGCAGTTAAATCTTCTTCAGAAACATTTGTTTCAATGTGAGCACCAAGCATTTTTCTAATTTCTGATTGGAGAACATTTAAGTTTGTTCCAGAATCAGAACAATTTTCTGTTTTTGACTCTTTGCCAACAATAACACTGCCTAATGACAATAAACTTTCAGCTAAGTCATAGGCTTTTGTTTTGGCACCTTCAACACAGGCATTTTGGCTTTTTTCAGAACAACTCAATTCATTAGATTCCTGTGACTCATGATGAAGCTCCGACAAAGTATTGCATTCCTTTTCTATATTTCTGTCAGTTGCTTCTTCCTGGTTAGTTTTGCTATCTTCAATTGCTTCAGCATGTTGACTGTTTTGCTTTTCACTCACACAAATTTCACTCAGTGTCTCCTGATCCACTGCTTTGAAATCTGTTTTTGAACTTTCATTTCTTTTTATGTTGTGCTGGTCATCCCTCTCCACAGTAAACTGACTGTCAGCAACATTCCTTTTGTCCTTAGAGATTATTTTCATATCAGATTCTCCATCTTTTTCATGATCTTGTTTTATGTTTTTTAATTGGCTTCTTTCTCTCCTTGGTTCATCCAGAACACTTTTGCTTCCCTCTTTATGTTTTATCACTTTAGTTGCTGTATGTTGACTTAGCAAGCTGCTTATAGTTGTAGAGCAAAGTTCTGTTTTGATTTTGCCGAATGAAATTGGCTCATCACTGATCTGGCCAGGGTGCTTACGTTTCACAGGGGCGTGCTGATCAAGACGAATGGTTCTCTCATATCTAGTGTGAACTTGCTTATTTGAGCAACGAAGAAGTTTATAGCCTTGCCTCAAAAGATAAGAAAATGTTCTATACTCATCTAAGTCACAGCCTGTGGAAGACCCTACTAAAAGTGAATATCCTTGCTGGATACTTACTGGAACTCCACCAAAAGTTAACTCAAGACTATTCTGCAAAATAACTTTGCGTTAAAAATAACAAGCACAAAAATTTGGTTAAAAAAATTAAGTACAGATGTAATAAGGCAAAAACAAACCGTTTCTAGCAAAAAGAGTGCTTCTTCAGGGTACAAATATAAAGCACCCTCTTTCTCAAACCCAAGGGTTTGGAAATGTTTCCCAGTACGTCTCGTAACTTCAGCAAGCTTTTTCTTATGGTCCCATACAGCTCCTGCTAGGCACCCCCTAAAATATAAATACATTAATATGAGACTACAATCCCCTAATTGTAATTTGGTGTTTAAGTGTACTACAGTAACAAAAGAATTACCACTTTTCAACTCTCTCTTCCTCTAGCAGTTCTTTCCGCTCATTGAGAAAACTTTGAACTTGTTTCTTTTCCATCCATGAATTGGTTGGTCTAAATTCTTTCGATCCTTCTTTGGGTAAGGTTTTTCCAGTGTTCATGTGGACTTGCAAGAGTGATTTTCCCCTGAGAAATAAATAACATGTAACATGAAAAAACACGCCTCATGATGAAATTTTTAACTTCAATTAACAAGGAAAGAATGCGCAGACAAATTTTTATTAATTAAAAATGGAACAAACACACATAAGCTGGCAGGGGTGAAATAAATAAACTGCACAAAAATGAGGTTAATGAATGACCATAATCAATAATCTAAACTTACGAAAGTAACTTTCCACTCATGGTCGGAACCCCAGTGTCATCATCAGTACTTTCATTCATTGTGTAGAACAAAATAAAACACTGAATTCAATTCCAGCTTCAATCCATCCAACTCTAGCGCGGTTGGTTTGGTTATGTTGACCGACACAAATAACAACAAAAACAACAACACAACACGAGTGGCAGTAGAAGAGGGAGGGGGTAGGGGAGAGGCTTGGGGGGGGGAGAAGTAGAGGGAGAGAGGTGGAAAGAGAAGGAGGAGAAGAGAAGTGTGAAGAGATGAGAAAGAGGAAAAGATAGAAAGACGTTTGTCAGCGTCAGCAGACGACAAGCAACAACAACAACAACAACAACAACAACAACAGGCAACAGATAGTTCTAGGAGGGGGTAGGGAGGCACGTTAGTAGGACACGTGCAGGAAATGAAAGGGTTGGGGTTGAAGGGTTGGATGATACAGATGGTTACGTAAGCCAAGGGCGAAATTTATTGGGGCTCAGTCCTCAGTCTGAAAGGTCTTGATATTTAAATGGCTACGAGTGATAATAACATGTGTGATAAGGCGACTGTTCTGTGGTTCCGAAGAGGTTTACGTCTTCATGACAATCCTGCCTTAATCAAAGCATTGTCAACTAAAAATGTATTCTACCCCATTTTTATTTTTGATGGAGAAACAGCAGGTTCGTGTCTAGTGATGATCGTTCTTATAACTTACTGTTTTTGTATGATTTCTGACTAAAGATTTTGTTGGTTACAGGTATTACTAAGGAATCTAGTTATAACAGAGTACGCTTTTTTCTGGAGAGCTTAAAAGATTTAGACAGACAGTTACGTGCAAAGAAAGGGAAATTGCACTTCATCAAGGGTGACCCTGTTAAAGTGTTTGAAGCTATTCATAATATTGTGCCTTTGGAATTAGTTTCTTTCGAGCAGGTATGTTATGTTTCCTCTATGTTATGTTTCCTTCCATCTGCTTAAACTGAAAATTCACAATAATTGACCCAAAATATATTTCTCAAATATCATTTTAATGTGTTGCTGTTTGCCATCTTAGGATCCAGAACCAATGTGGGAGTCTCGGGATTCTAAAGCGAAAGCCTATTTCGATCAACATACAATCAAATGGACAGAAGAAATATCTCACACTCTGTGGAACCCTCTTGATATTATCAAGGCCAATGGCGGTGTTCCACCATTAACCTATGAAATGTTTTTGGTATGGTGATAGGAAAATTAGGGAAGATATTCATTTTTGCATCTTAATTACAGTGATATTTTACTTTTAAAATTTAATTTTCCAGCACATTTTGTCTGTAGTCGGTGATCCACCTAGACCTGTGGAAGATCCTGAATGGGAGGGAGTGAAATTTGGATTTCTGCCTCTTAATATTGGAAATGAAGTAACAGTAAGTTTTTCCTGGACGTGTTTTCAGGACTTTTACATTATCTTGGATCTTATACTATCATTAAAAATTTTCAGGTATACCATTCCATACCAACACCTGAACAATTGGGTTACCTCCAAACTAGAAGTTCAGATCAGCAAATTAATAGGTGGATTGGTGGAGAGCAGACTGCCCTGATAAAACTTCAAGATCGATTGAAAGTTGAAGAGAGGGCTTTTTTAGACGGAATTTATCTGCCAAACCAAGCAAGACCAAATCTTTTAGGTCCTTCTTCCAGTCAAAGTGCAGCTTTAAGTTTTGGTTGCCTATCTATTCGAAAGTATATCTCTCGTTCTCTTTCATATTGTACTAATTTACTGTGTGTGTCCCTAATTTTCATATTTTCCCCCTTGGTTCTGCTTTCAGATTTTACTGGGCTGTGCATGACATGTTTAATAAAATATATTTGGGCCATACTCAGTTAAATCAAAGCATTACAGGACAATTCATTTGGAGAGAATTTTTCTATACAATGTCTATAAAAAATCCGTATTATGGTGAAATGGAGCGCAATCCCCTTTGTCTTAATTTACCGTGGACTAAGAATCGTGAAGATCTTGCCAAAAAGTGGGAAAATGGTTTAACAGGATATCCATTTATTGATGCTGTCATGAGACAATTACATCAGGTAAGCCTGTTGTTTATTAATTTCTTTATATTTTCTTATTTTGATGCATAGTTTTTTGATCTTTGTAAATAAAATTTGCCAATCTAACATTTTTTTCTTCAGGAAGGATGGGTTCACCATGTTGCTCGTAATGCAGTGGCATGTTTTCTGACAAGGGGGGACTTATGGATAAGCTGGGAAGTCGGTCTTCGATTGTTCCTACGCTTATTATTGGATGCCGACTGGTCTCTGTGTGCAGGAAACTGGATGTGGGTCTCCTCCTCAGCCTTTGAACAACTATTAGATTGCAGCTCTTGTGTGTGTCCTGTGAACTATGGGCGTAGGCTAGACCCACAAGGAGAGTACATTAGGTGCGATTCAGTTTTAAAGTTTTAAGGTTTGTTTCTTATGTTTCCTAATGTTTTATTCTATTTGAAATTTTGGGTTTCTTGCATAGGAGATACATACCAGAACTGAGGAACTATCCTATAGAGTATCTGTATGAACCCTGGAAAGCACCACTTAAAGTACAAGAGATGGCAGGGTGTTACATTGGACAAGAGTATCCAGAACGTATTGTAGATCATGCTGTTGTTTCTGAAAAAAATAGAAAGGTTTGTTCGCTCTCTCTATTATATATTATTCCTTCATATATTTAGATGTACTGATTTTAATAATAAGTCCAGGAATTTTGAGAACCAATCTTTCTATTTTGCAGATGATGGAAAATATCAGATTAACCCTTGTTGAGGAAAGCACACCACACTGCTGTCCATCTAACGAAGAGGAAGTTCGACAGTTCATGTGGTTACCAGAATCTTGTTCGGATTACCTGTGTGCCAACAGAAAATAACATAATTATTGTCACTGCTGTGTGTACCATTCCCGGCCATTCCACTTTGTGTGTTGTGTTTTGTAGTGTGTGTTGGTTTGTGAAATGTATTGGTATTGATTTTACAAAGCGAGCAATCATCAATCAAAATTACATCAAATTGTTGTGAATTGATCAAAATTTTGTGAAAACTGGGACATTTTTGCATCAAAATTTCATTTTTGATGTGAGATTGACGTCAAATTGATGTGCCTTCATTGAACATTGCTCGCTGGTTTATTTTGATGGTGTTCTGCACCTAATGTTATTACGACATTCTGCACCAAATGTGATATTATTGCCGTCCTGTGTTAGGACAGCAGCATGTACCCAATTAATTGTGATAGGATTTATATATTGTGATATTTTTTGTTGTTTTATCTTCTTGTTTAGAGCACGTTTCTTGATACTCTTATAAATGATTTTTAGGGACACATGAAGGTTTTGTTTTATTACATACAAATTGTATACCTCTCTGCATCATCCATTTTTTCATGTTTTTATTTTTCTCAATGTTTTTCCGAATCACCAGTTTGTTGGTGTATTTGGAGAAGTGACAATCTCGGATGATACTCTACACAGCCAGCAACACCCCTACAACATGGCTATATAACCCCATCCCCCACCCTCTCACAGCGACGTAGCTCACAGGGAATGACCCCACCCCCCTCCCTCCAAACCCACGCGGGATACCGGTACCTAAAACGCAGACCGAAAGATAAAATTCCGCGTGCGTTGTCCGGGACAGTTGGAGCAACAATATTACCACGGTTTGTAAGAAATGCCCGGAAATGCTAAATAATTCGCGCGCTCACCTTCGCTACCTTGTTGACAGTCCTGGGGAAGAAGACCAATCGGGCGCGATGTGGCAGACCTGTTCCAGGGGAATGCCACCCTGCGCTCCCCTGGCGGCGCCCAATCATTGATGATTTCTCTTCGCCGCATACAGACGGCGAGACTCCAAACCAACAACCCCTCGAATGTGACGGCGTGGCGCAATTCGATGAATATCGATGTCGTTTCGAAGGGGCGGCATGGCAGCGCGATGGCGCGGGTCTCCTATGGCCGCGACTCTCCCTATAAATAGCCGGCTCAGGATATCGCCCCCGCGCAGTGCGCGGGCTTCCTCTCTTCGCCGGTGCAGCGCTGCGTGTTTGTGAGCCGTCCCTAAGGCTGCCTCTTAAAAGAGTTTACCCTAATAAAGTATAATTCTATTCTACTGTCTCTACCAGTCGAAAAAATCCGGCCGCTCCTCGCTCGTTTCTGGGTATGCTGCACCTCATACAGGCATACAGGCAGGCTTGCCTACCCACTTTCACCACGTCGGCGCCTTGCGGCCCCCGTGCGAGTAGTCATCACTCTGTATGACCGTCCGCAAGCCTCTATGCGGAACAGTAGAACTAGAAATAGGGACCTTCTTGCGAAAAGTACGGCTTGCAGCATCCGCCGTACTCGTCGCAGCCCACTGCCATCGCAAGCAACTCCAAGCAAGACCAAAGACAAACCACATG